AAGAGGTTGCGGAATCCATTCGTTCTGCGGGACCACTGGGGGTTTAGGGCAGCGCGCAACTCCGGGGGGCTCCCGCACTGCCCCTTTCTCTCACTTGAGAAAAGCAAGGCTCGTTATGGATGATTAATAGCCGGGCTTCCCACCACCATGCAGCGCGTCCCTGCCGGCACCATTAGCTTAGTCGTTTTAATTTGACCTTTATTATTAGCAATGTGCCACCGGAGGCCGGGGACTGGATTCGCACCCCGAAGACCGCCCTCTTTACCCCCTCCACCTGGCCTGCTTCTTGGGGGAAGATGGGGGATTTGCAGCTCCCGCGGAGCCCCCTCCACCTCCCAAGGGAGCAGGCCTGAAACCCTCGGAGACCTAACCAGGAATCTGTCAGACATCCCGGGCGTGGTCTGGGGTCCCCAGGGCCTCGGAGTTGGGCGGTGTCTGCAATGCATCGTCGTGGGTTCTCTCTGGCACAATGTGCCGGTGTGCAGAGAGAAAAACAAATAAAAACACACTCCTAAGTGCCACTGGCATCTAGAGTGGCGGTGGTCTACACAGAGTGCCTGCAGCTGGAGGTATGGGGGAGGGTACTGCGGCCGAGGGCAGGGAGGGAGAACTGTGAAGACGGGCTGGCCGCAGGGGAACCCTTCCTCCCTGGGTAGCGGCCGGGAGCACCCAGGCTGCGGCTAAAGGGGCTGGTAGTCTCTCCTGCACCCCGCCTGCTCCCCCGCCTTCTGTGTGTCCCCCGGCTTTTCCAGGAGGAAGATGGGGTGCCCAGCGGGGGTGGGGAGCGCCGGGCCTCGGGGCCGGGCTGTCACGTGCCCCCCACCCCCGACTGCGGCGGGAGTTCCAATCAGAGCGCGCCAGGGGGCTCCTCCTGGGCAGGAACCACCCGGCTCCGCGGCGTAGGGTGGGCCGCCGTCACCTGACCGCCCGCCCCTGCCCCCCGCGAGTAAGGGGCGGTGGTAGCGTCTGCTCGGTTACAAATGGCCCCTCCCGCCTCGCTCGCCTGCTCGCTCGGGCTCAGCGCGGACCCGCCCGGGA